TAAAGAGGGAGCGTAGGCTAAGCCTAAATAGGACACTATCTTTTAGTCTTTTGCGTTCTTTACTATATTTGGGGCATTGTAGTATTAGATGCTATGGTGATTTAGGCTTATGACTGTATATGCAATAATTAGTAGGTGTTTTATTGAATCGTTTTAGGTATGTCCTAAAGTAGCCGTGTTATAGCTTAAGCTGGAAAAAGGCGCTAGCAGTGGATCTAGCCGTTTTGGGAAGCTGTATTTGAGAGTAAATTCGTGGGTTGAAAAAGTCGAAGTAGTAGCCTTTACCGCTAGCTAGAGCATTCGCCTATGCATGCCGTTGTATTTAGTTGATTTTTATGCCTATATAGGCATAGCTTGTGTGGGCAGCTAGGGCGGTCTAGGTGGTCGGAAGTGATTTGGACCCTAGTTTAGCCAGTTTATCCGCCTCTTCATTTCTATTGATATCTTAGTGTCTAGGGACCCACTCTATTGCTAGCGTGGATCCATTTTAGGCTATTTTAGTGGCAGCTGCAATAGCACGCAACTAGTAAATTTGGCCCGGATTATTAGAAGGCCGCGCTAGCCTATAAATAGCTGCTTGGTTGTCTGCGTATATCCGAATATCCCTATTTGGGCCTAGTCTCGTCGCATCTTCGAATGCTAGGGCAATGCCTTCTAGCTCTCTATTATAGACGATTTGGTGGGGACCTATATTTCGGGCTAGTCGTATAAAAGGGGGACTAGCGCATTTGTAGCCTGCTAGTCCCACTCCAATTCTAGTGCTTTTAGGCATTTGCGACCCGTCTAAGTAGTATAACACCTGATTTGGCAATTGTAACTGTATTTGCCGGCGGTGTATCGTGGCAGTTTCCTCTTTTAGCAATTTAGCGATTTGTATATCCTAGGGGATAGAGCGGTTCTAAGGGGCAAAGTGGAAGTGGTATATAGGTTCGATTTTGCCGCTAAGTAGGGGTGCGATAGTCCTGGTAATCATCTGAAGTCCGTATTCTAAGTAGCTGGATTTAGCAATTTGGCGATTCACTAGATATTCTAGACTTAGCTTAGCTAGCCGAAAAGCGTATTTGCATGTAGCTGTGTCTAGCCGTATTGCGGGCGGTAGGAGGCTAGCTTCCACCTCTATGGCCTGAATTGGACTAGTCTGAAAAGTGCCTAGGATTTTGCGTAGTGCCAAATTTTAGAGGTGCTATAGGTGGTCTTTTGCGTATGCTTAGCCTCGCCACTAAATTAGTGATGTATAGTCAGATATGCTAGTAATATAAGCTAGGTATAGCTGTCTAAAAGCGGTAGGACTAAGCCCTCGTTTGCTATTAGCTAGCCTGGACATATGTCCAAATGCGGACTTAGCCTTAGCAGTGCGGATAGTAATATGCTCCTTAAATTGTAATAGAGCGTTGAAGTAAATGCTAAGCCACTTAACTGTCTGCTTTAGAGGGACTATAGTCCCATCTAGGAGTATAAGGGACGCTAGCTTAGCGCGTTCGCCTATGCTGAAGTGAATCAGTTTAGACTTTTTCGGGTTGAATTAGATTGCGTTTTTACTAGCTAGCTGAAATAGCTCTTTAGCTACTAGCTGCAGTATTTTAATGTTTTTGCGGGGGCTAGTTAATATGTAAGAGAGAGTAATATCGTCTATATAAGAGATAAATTTGACTGCATGTAACCTAAATAGGCCCTGTATATAGATTAGAAAAAGGATAGGCGAAATCAGACTTCCTTATGGGATTCCGGTCTGAATAGGCTGGTTTTTATCCGATTGTCTGTTAAATAGAAGCTTAAGTGACCGCCTGCTTATAAAGGATGAGACCCACTTAATAACTGAATCGGGAAAGGCTAAATCCTTAAGAATTGTAAGTAGCCGGTTCTTAGACACGTGGTTGTATGCCCCTTTCACGTCTAGTAGAAGCGTACTAGTGATTTTGTTTCATAGCTGATTTGTATGGATATAATCTGCTAGTATAGCGCCTATATCTATAGCCGACTTTTTAAGTCGGCTACTGATTTGGCTAGGATGTAGCAGATTTGGTGTGGTTTCAGCTAAGTAAGCTAGTCGCTTAGCTAGGATCCTTTTACTTACTTTACCTAGGCAATTTAGAAGTGAAATTGGCTGATACGCGCTAGGCTGTTTATAGTCTGGCTTATTATTCTTTTATAGTATAGCGCAATTTGCTTGGCGCTAGCACTTCGGATAATAGCCAGTATTTACTAGCGTCTTAAAAAGGAGTGAAATCTGGGAAGGGCATGCTAAATATGCGTAGGTAATAATAGTCTGGGTAATATAGTCCGGGCCGGGGCTAGTGGATTTGATTTTACTAGAACAGGCTTGCTTTACTTTATCTAGTGCTAGCTTTAGCTATTGCCACTAGTCTGAGGCGGTATATGACGTCCACTTCGGGCTAGCTGTTTCGGGAGGTGGAGGGAAGAGCGTCTGGCGGAAGAGGTCGCATTTAGTAGTGAATGTGGTTGCAAAATGGGTGGCAGAAAGCTTTAGATTTGGGACTAGCTCTGACCGCCTTGACTTTATATAGGCTAAGGCTTTAAAAATCGATTTAGAATCCTCTTTTTCTAAAAACTGGTTCTAGTGATCCTTTTTGGCCGTCTTGATAGCCTGAAAGTATGTATTGCGGGTGCTAGTATAGCGCTTATTTAATTGGCTGGAAAACGCTCGCTTAGAGGCCTCTCTAGCCCGATTTATGTCGCGTCGAAGTGATTTTAGTGAATTGTTCTACTAAGGCTTAGCGTGTGGCGCTAACCGGATTTGGGGTATAGCATCGTGTGCAGCGTATAAAATGGCGCTAGTATAACGTTCTGCCATATTGTCTAGACGGTCTAGGGTTGCTTTATAGCTGCGTTTTGCGTTGATTTGTTCTAAGCTCTTTAAGCTTAAATTGGAGCTTAAAATGTAGCTATAGGCCTATAGCTTATTTTGGAGCAGTGACAGCTAGCAGAAAAGTTTTTCCCTAAATTTGGTCCAATTTGCCTGTTTTATATTAAAACGGGTGGTTTATAGATCCGCTAGTCCTATTCAGGAACTATTAATAGTAAATGTGATCCTAAAATAGTCCAAGCCTATATTATCCACTATAGCCTAGTCCTAAATATGATTGGCTATAGATCGATGCGCTAGCGTAAGGTCGATATTTATCGGCCTAGCCATATGCGGATAATAGAAGGTGCTAATACTAGGGGTATTTAAGAGGGCTAAATCATAGTAGTTGATCCAGTCTACTAGCGTATTGCCTTCTTTATCACGTGCCTTATATAGGGGGTCCCACCACAGGTTATAGGCATTAAAGTCCCCGCAAAAGACCAAATCAAGAGGCGGTAAGAGCTGCTATAGGCATCAGGCTAGCGTATAGGTGTCTAAATCGGGTAATTAGTGCTTTTTGTTATAAATATTATAAATCTTAATTACATGATCTTAATCTATAACGTCTAGGACTTGGAAGTCTAAGTCATTTAGCGAATCCAAGGCTAGGATAACTCTAGGGCGGTATAACCTGGCAATATAAGCCATTATGCGTGGTGTGATATCTAGGCTAGGCCTATTTAGGAAGAGTTAGGTGAATAAGAGGTGGGAAATCAACTGTATTCCGTCTGAATCGCGTATAATAAAGGGCTCTTAAACTAGTATAATATCTATATCTAGCTTAATTGCCACTTATAGCGCGGATTCCGTATTATAGGCAGCTGAATTCAGATTTACTTAGAGGATTTTAGTGCTAGCGTCTATTATAGAGAGGACGTAGGAGCCTTTAAGTAGATGCTCTAATAGACTTTATATAGAGCGGAGCTAGCCGCATATAGACCTCTACAATTGGCGCATTTATATATCAGGTGATTACACCTACCCTTAGCATTACATATAGAGCATGCATGCTGTTTCGTCTAATGTTTTTCCCCGCATAGCTAGCACTTAGCCTCTTTATAGCAGTAGTGTAATAAGTGTCTATAGGCTTAACACCTAGTGCATTAGGCGGTGGGACATGTTATATAGTGTTTTTCGCATTATATAGAAATGCCAGCTATATATAGCCTATTTCAGACGGCCGCGCTAGCCTCTTTAGGCGTAGCAAATGTAATTGCCACAGATCTAGCTATCTATTTTAGGCGATTTTCGGCTGATGTAATCTAGTATAGCTGTCCCAAAGGGGTTAGACCCTTATTAAAAGTCCGTATTTCGTCCTTAACTAGCTCTATGCCTTCCAGATAGTTGAAAATAGAAGTGGGGATCCTGTGGGCAACGATTTTATGCTATGTGACGTCTTTCTAAGCGGTATAGCCTAGCATTAAATGCATCTAGATGTCGGATTTAGTAAGTAGAAAGTCAGCTAAGTAAGCCTCTATAGTTATAACTACTAGATTGGCCTAAAGGGACTTAGACACTAAAAGCACTATAGGGTCTTTTACTCCTTTGCTAGCAAAAGCTCTATTTAGAGCATTGCAGGCGGTAAGAGGCTAAAAATTATTGTTTTAGGCTATAGTATCCTTAATTAGGATCACGCGGCAGCTGGTAAGAGGCTTCTTTATAGCTAGCTTTAGCGGTGAGGACTTTTTAGCAGAATTGACTAAAATCTAGTCTGAATTAGGGTTAGCGGACTTAGCTGCAGCTGCATATATCTGATTTTAAGTGGTTTTCAGCTAGGGAGCGATTTTCGGCCTGTTTAGGCGGTCTAAGACAGCTGTGCTAGGCCCTTTTAGGTTGACTTGCAGGCGGGTAGTTGGTTTTAGGGCAATTTGCCGGGCGGTGGCTTCTAGCTTTTGACTAGCGGATTCTATATGCGTGATCTTATTAGCTAGAATAGCTAAAACCTTCTTGATAGAGCCTTTTTTGAGGTATTTGCAGAAGATTTCAATTAAATTAAGTATTTAGTCCTATTTTAGGCGGTCTGGTTTAGTAGCTGCGGCTTTAACTAGGAGGTTACATGCCTCTATAATAGCCTTATTTGAAGGTGAATCTATAGTAAACCTTGGATTTTTGGCCGGATTAGGAAGCGGTATAGCTGGCCTCTTCTTTGTGGTAAAGGTAAAAGCGTTGCTATAGTGACTGTTTTGTTGTTTATTGATATTTTAGTGGCTACGGCTGGCGGAAGGGGCTATATATGTAAAAACAGACGCGTCTAATGCGACTTTTAGCTAGTTGCTGTCCCACGCCAGGCCTTCTAGCTCGTCCGTACTAAATAATGCATTATATGTGGTATCTATTACTGTATTATTATCTTCTGCCGCTGCAGACCGTAGGGGTGGG